GTAGTATCCGAAATATCAATATAAGTGTTGCGTTGGTTCGGACTTGGCCGACTCGAGGACTCGCACGTCGTGGCGGCATGCCGCGACGTATTGTGCTCGCAACATCGCCGCCTCGGGGAAGCGCTCGTCTTTTGTCTAAAAACCGACAGCGAAACTCGAACTCTTTAGATCGATGCCGATCCTAGATAAGTTAGGAAATAAGAAGACGAAATCGAGCGAGAGTCAGTCGCGACTGAAACGTCGAACCGAACAGTTCAAGCGAAGATTGTAGAAGAGTTGAAATATAAATACATTCCTTTTGCTTAAACCATTGATTCCGATTATTTATCCTATAATTCTGGGGGCTCAGCCGGGATCAAGCAAAACAAATCGTGTGTCGAGCATTAACAGAGTTGAGAATTATCCGTGATCTTGGGTAGTAAGTGCTAAAGACCGAACGATGAAGAAAGTAAGTGAATTTTTGACGCAAGTCCTAAAAGAAAAGTGCAGGCACATTATTCGGTTCGGCCGATATATATGAAACAATACCATGAAAGAAGGAGGGCGTACTAGGTGGCGACGGGACGCCGTGCGTTCGGGACCTGCATCTCATTTTTCGTTCCGAGGAGAGAAAAATATCGAGAGCGCGGTAGTCGCTGGACCGGGAATCGAACCCGGGTCTTTCGCTTGCCGGGCGACTGCTCTAGACCACTGAGCTATCTGACGCTCCACGCTCACAACACTCTCCCCTCCCCAAATAACGTTGAGAGATGTTGTTCAGAAGCGACATCTCTAGTGCTATCCCGAGCGCACGGCGACTACAGAGAGAGGCATTGTTACTTGTACCTGGTGGTACAAGCTGACAGTCTCTCAAAGTCAAAGGTTGCTATCCTTTTAAGACCTGCTGTCCATGTATGCCGGCCTCCACCGTTGCCCCTCCTTATCCGGTGCAAATAATAGAAATAAGCCCCGGGGTCGACGCGGCCTCTCTCCGGGAAGCATTTGACAAAGTGATGCTGCGGGAAAAGATGGAGAATGGCACTGTCTTAAAGGAGAGTGACCAAAAGCGCTACGCTAAATTCAGCGAGGAAAGTAGTGTGGCTACTGCGCACAAAGATACACGAAGAAGATGTCATTCCTGCGGTGCGACGACTCATCTAGCTGCAGATTGCCCGACAAAAGATAAAGGCGTAAAATGTTTCGGATGTCATGATTATGGACATGTCGCAGCACAATGTCTGAAGAAGCAGATACCGTCGAAGAGCACATGTAGCGTAGCGA